TCATGAAGAGTCAGACACGACTTAACGACTAAACAACATGATATCCTAGACCCTTAAAATCATAAGATAGGTCTAGAATGGATGGTGCAATTTTCATTCTTTTCTCTTACCTAGATGGTTTCCCTATTCTGCACCCCTTTTCCTCATCCTGTGGGTGATTTTCTTTTCCGACCCTCCTGGCTCTCTGACTTCCTTTCGTCATCTGCTTGTATGGTAAATCACCTCTGAAAATTAAACTCTCCCTCAAATAAAATTCAACTCCTCATGACCACATAGACCCATTCGGGTAGATTTCTTGACAATAACACAAAAGGAGTTTGCCATTACATTTTTCTGGGATATTTTCTAACATTCCAGGTTAGCCTACAGCCATGGGATTTCTGGGTGTCTCCCATTCAGATAGATTCTGCTCTGGTTAGGCTCTGATTAGTCTTTTTTAGAGCAACCCATGTTTGTTAGGTGGTACTTCCTGAGCAGAATGCACATCCCTACCATGCTGATTTATTATATGATTTATGTTTATTATTATAATCGTGGAGATTCTTTTGTCATTATTACTGTGAATACCCAGGTACTGATTATGCATAGTACAATTTGTAAAATGTACCATAAGCATTTTAGAGTATAAATGGAGCATGAATGAGAAATGATAGAACTACAAGCAGGAGTAGGAGGCAAACAAGTTGCACAGAAAGGAATTGGATCAGCTGGAAAAAAAGGAACAGAAACATTGAGATCTCTAGAAGAAAGACTTTCAACTTTCAACTTTTCAACTTTATTGATTAGTCTTACAACCATATCAAGGATAAGAAACATCAGCAAAGGTGAAACAAATAACTAATACACAAAATCCATGATACAATAAAATATTAGAATGGGATAGTACAAAGTATAATACTACTATAAAATAATAATGTAACGCTAATATCATAATCCGGATTCATATAAGACCGTCACCCCTACATGATACTCCAATCTGCTCTATATATCGGGCTCTCAAGTGAGCTGCCTTATCCACAAACTTGGCAGTCCTACTCACAATAAAGATATTTGTGCCCAAAAGAAAATAGGATAATCTGTGGAGCCCCAATGGACTGTTCTTTCCAACAGAGGGGACAAATAATTAAGACTTTCTGCTTGTAAGCTAAAAAGTGTGATGAAAATTGTCCAGGATTTACAATATAAGCAACAGCTGGATGACTCTCAAAGAGATCTAAACTAACCACCATCAAGAAAGGCTTTGAAGCCAAAGATACATAGTCACAACTTAAACCTCTAAGAAATCCCTGTTAAGGCTCTTGGAAAGCCTCCTTTGATGACTGAATGATCATGTAAGATAATCAATACAAAACAATTTTTTTTAAAATAAAATTGGATTGAACTTAATGTTGAATTAGTCTCAGTAGTCTGCTGATCTTGCCAAGAAAACTGCAGGGACTTGTCCAGGTAGTCACCAGGAGCCAAGACTGATTCAAAGGCACCAAAAAAAAAAAAAAATCTGCTTAAGCAGTCTGGAAAGATGGGGGAGAGGGATGCAAATGACAAAATGAATGTCATGCCATAGCGATTATCAAGATCCAACCCTTTTGTGTATACAACATGTCACACAACCATATATACATAAGAGCAAAGTTTGCATTACAACACCATTCCAATGAAATCATGTGATTCTGTGGATATCTCTAGGGTTAATCACAGTGCCCTGTATAAAGAAACCATGTCAATTAAATCTTTGGGCATAAGAATGTACTCCATAACATGTATAATCCTGAATATTGGCGCTGAAATGTCCCACGGCTAAACATTTCAGCTGAATTTGGGCATTTCTCTAACAACTAATTTTCAAACCATTGATTGCTTCCTGAGCCTTGCCCTTCCCACCACTACACATTATTCAAGTAACCAGAACCCTCCACAGTGGGCTTTAGTGCCACTTTCAGATCAGTGCCATGCCCCAGTGTTTCCATGACCTTGTCCATCTTGTGCCACTCTAAGGGCTGCCACTGGTGAGGCAGAAATGAGGCCATTCAGAACAGTTGGGCAGATGCTAGTGGAGGAAAACAAAAAGTGGACTTGACTGAACTCATGTTCAAGCCTACACCGTGGTAATCAGTCCTTCTCCATCCTTACTGCACTGGCAGATGGTCATCTGGTAGCACTGTTCAGAATAGCCCATTCCTTTTTGGGGAAGGTTGGGCAGGAAGACCTTCCTCGAAGCTGCTGCAAGCATTTTGCCAATAAAGTTGCTCACATTTGCCAAAGTTGACTGTTCATGAGCAGTTCTGGAGTGATGACTGAGGCAGCTTGCATGGGACCTCTTTCAGCCTATGCAGTGTGATGAACTGAATAGGATACTCTCTAGCATGAGCTCTGCCACCTGTGGTGTGGATCCAGGCCCTTCCTGGCTCCTTCAGGCAACTGAGGGTTTGTGGTTGGCTGCATCCAGGAAGTCATCATGCCTCTTTAGGGGAGGGGGTGTAACCAGCTATCTCCCTGTCTCCAAATCACCTTTCTGGAGAAGATTGTTAAGAAACAAAATGCATAGAGAAAACAGATTACATGAACCCCTTTCAGTCAATATTCAGGCCTGTGCATGGGATGGAAACAGTGTTGGTCACTGTGATGTGTGACCTTCTTTGGAACATGGATGGGAGAAATGCACTCCTCTTGGTACAAATAGACCTCTTGGAAACATTTAACACCATTGGCCATGCTGTTCTTCTGGCCCTGTGTGAACGTTGGGAGTCAGGGGAACTGTTCTGCAATAGTTCCACTTCTTCTTGAGTGAGTGCTTCCATTTAGGGGAGAGGAGGAGAAATTCTAGCTCCATTCATTCATCACAGAGAACTTCAGTAAACTCAATACCAGATTAGACTGAGAGGTTAGGGGATGCTTCAGGAGATATTCAGGCACTATTTGGACATCTAACTTCCTTTCCTAGCCCTCTTTCCTTGATGTGATTATATTTTGTAAGCTTCTTGAGGAGGAAGAAATAAATAAATTGAACATGCCAGAATACAACTCTGGGTCAAATGTGATTCACCAGAATTCTTTCTGTGTCTCCCTACAGCCCTTTTTTTTTGTGAGTTCAGCCATTAAAGGGAATATATACCCCTTAAGCCCTTGACTCCTAAAAACCTCTATTCTAATAGACCTAGCTTGATATATTATTGTGGAGTGGGTGTGACCCTCAAGCCAACTGAAGTTCCACACCCCTGAAATAAATATTAACTAACCAAGATCACATCTCAGTGAGCTTTCTATAGATTGCTTTGGGTTTCCACATTCAAGAGGAAAATGCAGTTAAAGATTTTTAGAACTGAAATTTAAACAGCCATCCAAGAAAAATTAAGGTTCCACTACCTTAGAGACTTGTGGCTCTGTATTCTGAGATTGTGTAGATCCCTGAATTGGAGTCTCATTTCACATTGTTTAATCTCACTTTCTCATATCTAGTTTTATTAATGCACACTATGTCCATTAATGCACACTATGTCATTAAAAAAAATGTCCAAATTCAATTTTTATTTGAGTGAACCTAAACTCAGGCAGCACGCTTTTAATTCATTCAGGTTGGGGTTTCAAGGAATAGAGCATTGTTTATTTTTCCCCCTCCAAAGCTGCACACAAAGCTTTAAGATCAGATACATTTTGGGGAGATCACTGCCTATTTGCCCAGCAGCTTCATGAATGATTGCTTTTTAAATCTGGGAAATTCCAAACTTCCAAAACTCAGAGTAGAGATGCCAGGAATGGAACAATGAACAGGACGGGAAGCTCAACTGAAAAACCAGTCAGAGCCTTACGGTAATTCCAGGCTTTGCCTCAAATGCAAATTATGCTGTTTTCAATAGCAACATTCTTTAGCCAGAAGCAGGAGCATGGGGAAAATTATCTTCTTTCAGGCATTTTGTAATCTTTCCATGCTAGTGCACAGAGATTCTTGGTGAGGTTCTCAGCACCGTTTCTGTGATTTACAGGGTATGTTGCTTTTCTTACTAACCCCTGCCTGACCAATTATCTATTCCTACAGCCAAAGCTTGAACCTACGTCATAGCCCTCGACAGAGAAGCAAAGCAGCAACGCCTGCTTCTTCTGTTCCAGTGAAGGAAAAAAAAAAACGAATCAGCTCACAGGAGAAGTCAGGATCGAAACAGAAAGACAGCTACTAGGAAAAAGCACAAGAGAAATAGACAGAAATCCGGAACAAGATTTTTTGTGACTACTCAGCTCGCCAAAAAACAGGAGCAGAAAGAATTGAGAAAGGAGACCAAGGGAACCTGCAGAACAGCAGTGAGATTTTAAAAAACAGCTACCCAGAACCATGAGCTACCCAAAATACCAGAGGATGCAAGACGAATTGCCCATCCCCCAAAGTCCACCCCCTTACCTGGAAAATCAGTCCAATCTCCCAAAAATTTCTACAGAATCAACCCATTGTATGGAACATGAGAAATTTCCTGTTGTGCCACCTCAGGACCTACCTATTTATGGCCCAGATGAAACAGCATCTAAACACATTCCAATCCTTCAGCAACCACGGAGTGTCATTATTGTGCCTGTCCAACCTACTGAAGAACCCGATTATATGGCCTACTCTATCTTTAGTATCCTGTGCTGTTTCTTGCCGCTCGGTGTAGCTGCCTTTGTCTTCTCTAAACTGGTAAGCCTATGAATGTATGTCTCTGTGTTTGTACTTGTGTAGTCCGCTATTGCAAAAATGTAACAGGCTCCATGCCACCATAAAAGTATTTCTATTTCCTTGGTGATCAATCTGCATCACCACTGACGATTTGTAATCCAATACTTCATTCAGAGGTTCCTCTTTTGTCAGGATGTTCATGCTTTTACACTGTTTTATCAAAAACTGAAGATAGGGGTAACCT